AAAAAAAAAAAAAAATCTGTTCTAACTCTGTTTTCTTCCTTCAGCATTCTCTTGGTCTTCTTGACATCATGGTAAGCAGACAGAATTAAAAAATACTGTCAAGCTATGCAACTATTCATAAATTCTACTTCAAACAGAAATAGTGCACTGCTGTGAAAAGCTGATAACAGACTGGGGACTTGGTGCCCATAAACTCTCACCAACCAGCCTTGTGCAGTAGTGGTGCTAGTCAGGCAGAGGGAGTTAGAGCTAAGTGTAGGAGCTGTCAGTTTAGCCTTATGGCTTATTAGTGTTCTCACTGTGCTGGTGAATCTTGGGAGGATTATTTCATTGAAAATTATTTTATTCTTTGTTATTTTAAGTACATTCATTTTAAAAATAAAGTAAAATTATAAAAGGCAAAAACATTTAATAAAAACCAAAGGATTTGTTCAGTAAAATTTGGATTCAGTCAAAAGGGCCTCAAATACCACCTGTGGCCTTAAGGCCATGGGATCCCTGCCCCATAACACCTTAGCTATTTTGGTCTTCTTTTGGATATTTCATCCCCTCTTCAGCTTTTGCCTCAAGTAGAATTTTTAAAAAATAAATTTGGAAATCTAAGTATCAGTAATATGAGCAGAGCAGGAGAGGATGTAATGAAGAAAAATGTGGGCTGTGCCAAAAATGTGGGCTGTGCCCTTATTCTTTCCAAAGTTACCTCGAAATTAAAATCCTGTTTATATACATCAGTTCTGGTCATGAAAAATGAAGATGAATGAAAACCATGATGGCTCAATGTCATTTATTTAGTACGTTCAGTATGTCCATAAACCAGGCTTATTCTTGAGTATGAAAACAGAGGGGGAATGAACCCATTTGAACATGTAGCATGTGAAAACTATGGATTTTTCAAAGAAATGCAGTTTTATTTAGGTAAATAATATTTCCATGGCAAAAGCTGTTATTTTGAAATCCTACTGAACAACTATATGATAATTCATATTTGATCATCACCACTTCTCCACCTCCTGCTAAAGTATATGGAATTACAAATTTAATAAATTATGTAAACATAGCCATATAGATTCTTTTCATTATTAATTTTCTTGGAAAGACAAGGAAACAAATAATCATCTAAATTCTGGGTCCCAGGATCCGTATTACTGAGATTTTATAATTCCGTCATTCACCTCGATTTTCCCACCCAACTTTTGATCATTTTCACTAACAAGCAATGAAATAAGCATAGTAAGCTTTTCTCTTTCTTGTCCTCATGCTAACAAGTCATTTAAAACAAAAAACAAAAACCGAACTCAAACCAATGAGAGTCAATTCTTTGGGAGCAGACTTTGGAAAAAGTCTGTGTAACCCACAGCCTGGATAATAGGCCCCTGCACTCTGGATTCTGTTTTGAATGCACTTTTCAAAATGTTCAGTTTCTGTTTCCTTTACTCTTATCCAGTAAAGGAGAACCAAACTGCCATTTAACAGTTCATGCCTGGAAACAATCTTAAATGACCCAGGTTTTTCTGTCTTTCATTGTGTATATCAGACCCCTACAGTGCTTCCACCAAATGTTTGGGAACTGTAATTCGCCAC